CTCATCAGGAACGGTCCAACTGTATTGTCTGTGATATCAAACTGTCTTGATTCGTGGGCTGTTGAACTTCACAATGGTGCAACCTCGGACCCTTCTGGGCTATGATGCCAAGCTCATCATTCCCCGCTTGCATGATCGGCTCGACCTGGACGATCGCTTTATTAAACTTACCGTTGTGAACCACACATGCTGCCTCGGTTGAGGTAAGCTAAAGCCATAGCTCCCGTCAGAAAACTACGCGTTCTCTAGCCTCGCGCGACACCCGCACCATTCGCTCCTGTACCAAGCGTTTGTGGGATTCTTAGATATTGATCTTTACATTTGATCGAAACCACAGTCGCCATCACTTCTGCTACCGCTTCGGATTCAGCTATGCCAGCCACACACCAAGGCTTGCTCGACAAAGGCTGCCTTGAAGAGGTCAAACTCTCGCCGACAATATGGAAACCAGTACGAACAACAAAATTGAGTCTCAACGCAGTGCGTCCTGAGTTTTTGAGCTTACGCTCTATCACGAAGAGCAAGCCTGTCAGACCAACAGCATGGCTGGACGGCCTAAGGGGCTTTGCGGCGTTCTTGGTGTACCTGCACCATAATCAACTTTGGTCTCATGGCGGCAAGGGCAATCAAGCATTCGAAACCTCATTTGGATACGATGGGAAATACTACTCGGCAGCATTCCCATTCTTTCGACTCATATTCTCAGGTGGTCACTTCGCAGTGGCTATCTTTTTCGTCATCTCAGGATATGTCCTTTCGCTCAAAAGCCTACAACAAATCCATGAGGGCCAGATCTCAAGTGCGTCGAACACCGTCGGCTCTGCCCTTTTCCGCCGCTGGCTTCGACTATACCTTCCCATCATCGTCGTCACCTTTGCGTGGATGTCGTTCCGCCATTGGAGTGGAATATCTGTCGATATGCGCAATATGGAACCTACGTTCCGCGAGGATGTTGTCAGCTGGTATCGAACCTTCAAGAACTACAGCTTCGTCTTCTCTACGAACATCTACGAATTCACGGAGCCCTACCACCCTCATTCCTGGTCAATTCCGATTGAGTTCAAAGGATCCATTATCGTCTACACCGCACTCTCCGCTCTTTCCCGATGCACACGCAATGCTCGCCTCATGTGCCAGGTGGTTCTGGCCTTCTACTTCCTGTACGTGGTAGACGGCTTCTATGGAGCATTATTCATATCTGGAATGCTGCTCTGCGACCTCGACCTGCTAGCGGAGCAAGACCAGCTTCCACGATTTCTCAATGCCCTAGCTGGATTCAAGGAGCTCATATTCTTCCACTTGTTCATCGCCGCACTTTACCTTGGCGGTGTACCAGCATTCGATGCACCCGATATTGATCACACAGTACTCATCTCAAAGTCTCCCGGATGGATATGGCTGTCGCATCTCAAGCCCCAGGCTGTCTTTGACGCCAAATGGTTCTACCTCTTCTGGGCTGCGTTCTTAGCCGTAGCGTCGATTCCACGACTGCCATGGCTGAAGCGCTTCTTCGAAACCGGGTTTTGCCAGTACCTCGCGCGCATCTCCTTCGCGCTGTACCTAGTTCATGGCCTAGTCATCTGGACAATAGGAGACCGAATTTATGCCGCGGTTGGGCTTTCAAGACCATTCCACCAGGACGGTCTTCCAGGATGGGTCGACAAGTTCCCGCTTCCCAAGGGGGGGCCCATGGGGCTTGAGCCTGCATTTTGGCTATCGCAGCTAATTATCCTACCCATTACGCTGTATGCAGCCGAGGTTGTCACGAAACTAGTCGATGAGCCCAGCGTCAAGCTGGCAAATTGGCTTTACAGATGCACCATCCAGTCACAAGTCTCCCCTCCAAAACACCAGCGCAGCTACTCTGTACGTTAGAAGAAATTGAAATAGTCTTCATCCACAAATCTTCGTTTGTGTCATCGCAATGCGCTGGCCGACTATCGACTCCTCTAGACACTTTTGGCTCGGCTTCATGTGATGTTGGCACGCCAGGGGCAACCCGTCACGGCGCTACTGCAGGTGCTAAACGGGTAAGATGCATTATCATGTTGGTGCAAATGTTTATTGGTGATCCAAAGTGGAGATTGCTCCGAAGCGGCGCCCCATGGGGTACTTGCTCGGCATGGACTGGTGGTCCCTGCTCGCCTGCCGATCATGCTGACGGCAGCACCCGGAATTGGCGACATCACCGTGCGTGATTAACTCGACCCTTGCTCTCAATTGTGTTGGGACTGTGATCAGGATCAACAGGTCGTCGTCAGTGTCACTGTTCCATTCAGGCGACATGCACCTCATTGTCGGCTGGACTACGACACGGCTCGGCGCCCTAGCAGTTTGACCAAATGTGCATGTGAAGTTCCCCCCTCCTTTTCACGAAGGTTGCATCTAGGCCTGACTAAAGGTCCATCGCGAAACCCTTGGACTGTACTTCCGTACACAATATGCGACGGCGACACAACATTACCCTAGCGACACTTGCTTGTCTCGGAACCGTATACCTTGTTGCACAACACCGATATGGTTTCTCATATGCGCATGGAGACGGGCACATTGACGGGATCGAGATCCTGCCATCGGACGGGCACCGTGGCTCCAAGCATGACGATGCATCCGCAATCGGAGAGAAGGGCTTACTAGACGGTATTCGGCCGTCCAGTTTAGCCAACGCACATTCCGCTTCAGGCTTTCAACCGGAACCTTCCTTTGCGGGAGCCTCGCCACCGTTTAGCACGGAACACATACCCGGAACAAAATACAATTTCCAAGATGAACTCCAACTCGAGCTCCCCACTTCAGTACTCCAAAAGTACATGAAACAGAAGCCTCGCAACCACAATCCCAACGGACCGAGAGGGTATGCTTACGCGACCTTCCTCGCTACTCGCAATCCTTCCCTGAAGGACCCATATTTCCTCGCCATCCACTCGCTCATCTACCGCCTACTCTGGTCATCCCGCACACGTAGTAAAAAGCACCCATTCATCGTCTTCGTAGCCGAATATGTCACAGACGAACAACGCGCCTTGCTCAGAGGTGCTGGCGCGCTAGTCCGCGAGCTTCCACCTCTTCATTGGGAGTGCAATGTCGATGGCGTAGAAGACCGATGGAAAGACCTATTTGCCAAGCTCAACATGTGGAAGGAGACGGAGTTTGAGCGCATCTTGTTCTTGGATGCAGATGCGTTTCCTCTGTCGAACATGGACGAGATGTTTGAGCTTGCGCCCATACAAGAATGCATACCAGAGAAGCTGCATCTCGATGACTTCCTGGAGGACGGCCCGGTCTGCGAACCTTACATCTTCGCTGGCGTCGCGCAAGACCTCGATGCTAAGCACCCCAACATCAACGTCGGTTCAATGGTCTTCACACCTTCTTCGCGCATGCATGCTCGGCTGCTTCAGAACTATGTCAAGACAGATAATTACAACTGTTTGATGGCTGAGCAAGCATACCTGAACTGGCAGTTCGGTCCTGAGGGCGCGTACCCGGGAACGAAGTTGGAAAGGCAATGGGGCGGCTTCTTCCCCACCGAGGGAGAGGGCGATGGCTCGTTGAAGGTAGTGCATGAGAAGCTATGGATTGCAGAGCATGGGTGGATGAAGGAAGAATGGGAGAAAGGATGGAAGGATATGATTGCGTTCTATGAGAGTAAGAACTTTGCGAATGCAAGGAAGAGTGATGGTATGATTGTTGAGAGCAAGTGAGGCGTTCAGGGTCTTGATATGCTTGTATATAAACTTTTCGCATAACGACTTTCGTATCTATGGTGTTCTCATACCTACTAGAGTAATATAAATGTTAATGCTATGACATTCTGGATTACTCTTCGTGTCGCAATACAATCAGAGCAGGTATATACTTCAGCTCTCTCCTCACAAGTCTTACATCTCAGTAAACCCGCTGCAAAGATGGTCTGGAATACACGCAAAAGAAACTACTCCGAGTATGATGGACAAGAAGTTCCCAAAGATCACGCAACAAAGAAAGCGAAAGACAAGACCAGCGCGTCCGCAAAGAGCCCTGAAATGACGCCAGTGTCGTATCCAACACTCTCCCTACTAGGTCTACCAGGCGAACTCCGCAACCACATATTCGAGCTTGCATTAACTGCTCCTTCCAGACATGTATCCCTCCTGCCCAGATCTCCCCACCAAAGATCATGCGAACAGCCACATCAGGACAATCCGCAGCCCCACGCGTTCAACCAACTCAAAAACGTATGCCGCCAACTCCGCAGCGAAACAGCCGACTTGGAACTCCGCTACAACGATGTTCTCGTAGACCAGGCCTCGTCGCTCGCACCTACCCTAGCACGCTGCACACCAAAGCAGCAGGCCTCGATAAACTTCTCACTACACTACGAAAATTTGGAAGATACCATACCTATCTTGAGAAAACGCTGGATCAGCCCGGTCAAGTGGGATGACCTCGTTGAAATAGCACGTTTCTGCCGAAAGCACCCACACATCCATGTCGATATCACTTTCGCCGACTTCAAGTATCCCACCAGCTCGAAGAAGAATCATGATCCGCTGGAGTACTTCCTTGCGACTGCAATGTATATCTCCATGGTGTATAGGCGGATAGATCTTACGCGTCTGCTGCCGAGGGCGATGGCGGACAGGCCCATGTATGGCATCACAGCGGGTCATGTTATACTAGACAATGGGGAGAATTTTGGGAAGACGTGGCCGGTGCCTGTGGAAGCTGTGAAAGAGTTTGAGGCAGAGAATATGCGTTTTTTTCCGCGGTGGAAGGGTGGGAGAGAGGATGTGGTGGATAGAATTGCGAAGGGGTGGGCGAAGGCGCATCGAAGGGAAGGCGGGGCTGGGGAGGATTGGAGAGATGTTTGCGAGGCGGAGGTTAGACGGTGGTTTGAGGAGGGTATCTAGGAGGGCGATGCTTTTCGTTGACGCCGCAATGTGAGTCACGTGCATCAGACTGTGCTTGAAGGTGGAATGTGTTCGTTGTAGTTTTCACACGATATACAAAGTTATCTTCTAAGCACTAGCCTCCGCAGTACTTTGTCTTCCAGCTATGCTTCCACCCTTCCAACTTCCCTTGGGGTCAATCCTGTCCTGCACCCTACTTTGCTCGCCCTCTTTACCCCAGCCACCGCCACCAGGCGTGTGGATGATGATGCGTTCACCAGGGCGCATGGCTGCCGTGTTCTTAGCGCCCATGTTGATGTATCTGTACTCCACATCTTCCTTCCTGATGTCGGCATCCTTCTTCAGCAGAGTTTCAACTGCATGAGAAGTGGTAGGCGCATGCGCATCCTCCACAAGTTCCGTTGGGCGCTTGGAATCCGAATTTTGGTCGATGGCTTTCTTGTCTACCTTCTTCACCCAGATGTTCAAACCGCATGCGGCGTCTCCTCCTCCTTCCATACCGTATGGATGGTAAACTCTTCGTTCGCTGAGGATACTGACTTGAACGGGGATGCGGAACTCGATGTCGCGGATTACACCCTCGCCACCGATATGCATGCCCTTACCTGCACTATCTTCCCTGAGTGAAAACTCACGGAGTAGAACGGGGTATCTTCGCTCGAAGACCTCGGAGTCGGTAATTCGGGTGTTGGTCATGTGCGTATGAACACCGTTGGTGCCGTTCCAAGTCGAGCCTGCACCAGATCCTCCTGCAATTGTTTCGTAATATCCAAAACCCTTCGTGTCTTTGCGTTCGCCGCTCTTTTCTCCTTGTCCGTATGTTGTACCGCCAAATCCAAAAGTGAGATTATTGCAATCTCCCTGGCTTGCAGCACAAGCACGGAATGCTTTGAGGACGACGTCTGTCACGCGCTGACTTGTGAGAACATTGCCACCTACAACAGCGGCATTGTCAGACGGCGAGAGGAACGACTTCTTGGGGATGAGAACGTGAATAGGCTTGAGACAGCCTTGGTTCAATGGGATGTCCTCGCTGATCAGACAGCGCAGACAGTATATAATGGCTGAGTAGGTGACGGCTTCTGGCGCATTGATATTTCCGTACACTTCAGGCCCGGTGCCAGAGAAGTCAAAGACAGCTTCACCCTTCTCAGGATCAATAGAGACCTTCAGTCGTATTGGACTACCATCATCCATGAAGTCCTCTGCGCTCAGATCTTGGCCCTCGAACCGCTTGTATACGTCCTTGAGCAGCGCGCGAACGGACTGCTCCGCATTGGCTTGTATGCTTGTCATGTAGAACTTGACGACTCGCTCGCCATAGTCCGACATCAGTGTGTTGATTAGGTTGATACCCTTCTGGTTAGCCGCGACCTGGGCCTTCAGATCATTGATGTTGTCACTGAGACATCTCGTACCCGAGCAGCCAGGGTATTGGCCTGGTTCATCAAAGAGTAGCTCGGTGATGCGCTTCTCGTTGAAGTGTCCTTCCGACACCAACTTCTCGGACTTGATGGCTGCACCTTCCTGGTAAAGCTCCTTTGACGCAGGGGGCATAGAGCCAGGAAGTATTCCGCCTATATCGGCATGATGCGCGCGGGAAGCGACGTAGAATATGATGTTGTCGCCACTGAACGCGGGTGTGATCACAGTGATGTCTGGCAAATGGGTACCGCCGAACATGGGGTGATTAGAGACAAGGACATCGCCTTTCTTCAGCTTGCCCTTCCAAATGGCGGCTTGTTTGCGGACACAGGTTGACATACTTCCGAGATGCACTGGTAAATGAGGAGCTACACTGGCGTTAGCTGATTCAGTTCACTCCAGCGATGAACTTACCATTAGCGACTAGTCCGCCATCCGCATCGAACAGTGCACAGGAATAGTCCAGTCGTTCTTTGACGTTCGTCGACACACTGGTTTTCTGCAACGCGCGGCCCATTTGCTCAGCAATAGCCATGAACCGATGAGCAAAAATACTGAGCAGTATCGGGTCGACTTCTTTCGTGTCAACCTGCTTATCTTGGTCTTCCGTCTCACCAATGTTGATCACCACATGAGTATGGATGACAAGCGCAGTGGCACCAGGCGTTACGACGATGGTCTGCGTACCATCTGCGATGATTGCTGGACCCTTCAATCGATCGCCCACTTCTAAGTCTTCGAGCTTGTAGACCGAGGTATCTTGCCGGCCGCCTTCGAAGAAGACCTTTCGGGTATCGTAGCGCTTTGTGTCTCCTGAGAGGTCCTTTGGTTTGATCTCCTTGAGTTGCTGATCTACACTCTTCTCGAGACCTTCAAAAGTCTTGCCAATGCCGCGAGCTCGTACGTCATCGACAATGATGTCGCGATCGGGTAGAGTAAAGCCGAACTCCTGGTCATGTTGCTTGACGAAAGCCTTGCCAAAAGCCCACTCATCGCCGTCGTACTCTTGCTCTGCCTCCTCCTTCGTCGGCTTGATGATCATAAGTGCCGACTCTGTTCCGCGATATCTCAGGTTGAGGTACTCTTCGAAGTGGACATGCTCTTCGTCAAAGCCCTGATCCCTAAGCGTACTCGTTGACTTGCTCTTCAGATCTGCCATCTTGTTCTTCAAGTACTCTCTTACATCCTTCTCGTCCGACCATACTGTAGACTCTGGCTCCTGCCTCTCATCGACAACATCAGCGAGTGCCATGCCATATGCTGATAGTACTGATGAGTAGCGATGAATCAGGATTTGCGAGATGCCAAGTGCTTCGGCGATGGCGACCGCGTGCTGGCCACCCGCACCACCAAATGTGGCGAGCCTGTGCTTGCTTGTATCGTGTCCACGGGCCTCTGTCAGACTTCGAATCGGCCGGGTCATGGTCTCATTAGCGATCTTAATGAACCCGTTTGCGATATCGTCCAGCGACATCTCCTTCTCCTTATTACCACCTGCAACCTCTTTGTTGATCTGCTCAGCCAATTTCTTGAAGAGTTTCTCACTCGCTTGCGCATCGAGACCTTCATCTTCATTCTTGCCGAAAATCTTGGGGAAGAAATCTGGTAATAGCCGGCCAAGGAAAAGGTTCGCGTCTGTGATGGTTAGTGGGCCACCCTTGCGATAGCATGCTGGCCCTGGGTGTGCGCTTGCCGACTCTGGGCCTACGACGAACAGTCCATTCTTCCAGAACAAGCGCGAACCACCACCTGCTGCGACAGTGTTGATGTCGAGCTGCGGAGACTGTATGGTAACACCAGCTGTGGTAGTCTCGAAGACGTGGTCGTAGCGTCCAGCGCCGTATCTGCTGACGTCGGTACTGGTGCCGCCCATGTCGAAGCCAATAACGGGAATCTTGGTCTCGGGATCGTAAGATGTGAGCGCATAGCCAACGACTCCACCGGCAGGGCCAGACAAGATGGCTTTTAAGCCAGAGAAGATGTCGACATCTACCAAGCCACCATCTGACTGCATGAACTCGCATCGAGCGCCCTTGGAGCCCTCCTCGCGCTTCACGCTCTTGGATCCAAGGCCGCCTTCGAAGCCCTTGGAAAAGCCGTCGATGTATTTTCGGATCGCGGGTGTGAGGTATGCGTCTGCGCAGGCCGAGGTAGCGCGTGGAACCAGTTTGATCATGGGCATAAGCTCGTGGCTCAAGCTGACGTGCTCAAAGCCGATGTCCCTCGCGATCTTGCCCACCAACGCCTCGTGGTTGGGGTATGTGTATCCGTGCATCAAGCAGACGGCGATGCTCTTCAGTCCGCTATCGTAGACGTCCTGCAACTGCTTCCTTATCGCATCTTCCCGTGGTCGTTGCAGTATGCGCACGGTCTCGCCCGACAAGCCCTTGACCAGTTCTGCGCTGTCTCCGGCCTCTTCTATGCTCTTTGCCTGTGTCTGGTTTCTCTCCGGATCTTCGGCGTAGTCTTCCAGGGTGACGCGCTCATCGATCTCGACGACCTTCTTGTACAGCACCTCGGGCTTCCGGATATCCAGCGCGAAGATGTTCGGCCTGCTCTGATTACCAATCTCGAGACAGTCCTTGAAGCCCTTTGTGACCACCATGGCAATGTCCTCGCCCTTCCTCTCTAGCAGCGCGTTGGTGGCGACGGTGGTGCCCATGCGTATGCTCTCGATCTTGGACGTGTCGAGCGGCTGTCCACGGGGGATCTCGGTGCCGGTGAACTTGGAGAGGAGGCGGCGGATGCCTTCGAGCGGCGCGTCATCGTAGTTGGAGGGGTCGACGGAGAGGAGCTTGATGAGAATGTCATCTTCCATCTTGCCCGTGCCGGGATTGCCTACGCAGTCTGTGAAGGTACCGCCGCGCTGCCTTGTCAGCTACAGTTGTACGCACGATGGTGAGACATACATCAATCGCGATGCGGATTCCCCGCCCACTGATCTTGGGAGTGGCCATGTTGACGATAGATGGTGAAGCTCAGGGGCGCAAAGGCATCAACAGGCACGGAACGAAACTTCGAAATGGACAAAAGATGATGCTAGGTCCTGCATGGCCCGATGCCGGCCACACGCGACTGCACCACCCATGAGGCTCGAGAGTGGGGTAGCTCGATTGCTGCTGCCCCGCGATCTTTTGTCATCATTCGATTATTGATCCGTGGCAGGCGCATCATCGCTATTTCCGCGGCTTTCGCTTCATTGGGACTAGTGGCTGTCTCCAAGAGCTAGGCCAAATATGTGCACAAGGCCCCCAGACAACCCCACCTTACCTTCGCCCATGTGGCGCAGGCAAACACCTACAAGCCAGCTTCACTGATTTCTATCAGATGCAAGAAGGTTGGCACCCGAGGAGCGTTTGAAAACTCGACATGTGGGCGCTATCGCACGTTCAGTTTGCCTGCATCCGAGCAATCGCTCACACCTCGCTCTATATCCGGACCTCACCCTGGCTAGCGCCTGCAACTCAGCCAGATCATATCAAGAACTATCCTTGTCGGCCGAGTCTTTATGGCTGCCGTATATTCATACCAAAAGACTCTCAAGGCAAACAGACTCCGCTGCCCCTCGTGATCAGAGCCCACGGTGGTGGCTTCATCGTCAACTATCCCGCAGCAGACGACGTCCTGGCGCGACATCTTGCTGATCATGCCAACTGTATTGTAGTCAGTATAGACTATGGCAAATCGCCTCAAAACAAGTTCCCCACGGCTTACGAGGATGTCGTCGCTCAAACGCTCGCCGTGATTGATGACCCAGAATTGCCCATCGATAAGTCAAAAGTCGTCCTCTGCGGCAGCTCAGCCGGAGGCAATCTTACCCTCGGCGCGGCCCAAGACTCGCGGCTCGTGTCCAAAGTTGTGGGTGTCGTATCGATCTATCCTGCCGTGGACTTCGGCCCCGATAGCGATGCAAAGATGGCAACTCGGCCAGATCCTGAAGTCCCTGATTTCATAGGAAAGAGCTGGGATGATGTTATGAAGCTGTACCTGGATGAAGCTCAGAAGGAATCCATGCAGGATGTGCGTTTGAGTCCAACGTACTTTGGTACAAGGGAAAGCTTGCCGCAGGAGATTCTGCTTATCGGAGCTGAGCATGACATGTTCTGCCGCGAGGTCGAAGTCATGGCTGAGAAGCTTGCGGGCGGCAGGCCTAAGAATCCGAACAAGGAAGGCTGGTCGGCGCCGGGGGTGCAATACTATAAAGTATTTGGCCAGCCACATGCATTCGAAGGCTTTCCTGCTAAGAATCCCGAAGCGGAGAAGGCGAGAATAGCTGCAAAAGAAGCCATGTTTGACACCATCTCACAGTGGCTGAAAACTACCTTTTCCAAGGTTGATCGCTACTAGCGAGACTTTGCTCGATGTCAGCGCTTGGGTTGTTCTTGACGTCTCTGTTCACAGTACGCGATTGAGAGTGTTGCAAGCGGATGCTAGAGCAAACGACGATAATGCTTTTATTGATGTTCATAAATGGAATGCTTGTCGACGCGCGGAACACATAGGATACAGCGAGCTCTCAATTTGCCGTTCTTGTCCTGTTTTCACTTCTTTTAGCTTCTGCTATTTTCTGTGTCGTAAGAGACTTTATGTTCGCTAGCAAATGTTGACGCTCTGGAAGAACTGGGTTTGTTACATTACTTCCAATAGTAAACGATACCTTGTCGAAAGAGTCGGTGAAGCGTGCGTCAAGGTTGATGCTGTTTCATTACCTGGCCATCGCGCCGTAGACTTGCATTGGGCGTACGCTCACGTCATGTCCTTGACGTATCAACAACACGGACTGGCATGGTGTTTGTACAGAATCAGATCGACATCTTTATCGGACCGTCCAAACCTGAAGAATCCCATGTCGCGTACAACAACAAAACAAGGACTGAAGATACCCTCGGCAGGCGCCGGGTAGCTGATACCAACATGCTTTCGGCTGCGGGAAGGCAATGCAGTCAGCTTACAAAGGGGTCGGTGATGACAGGCAGCCGGGAATGGACAAACCCCTGACAATCTCATGTCATATACTGCGCAGGTACCTAAGTATATCCATGCGTAGCCGTTGAGAAGATCGATAAAAGATCACACAACGTGCCATTGGGAGTGCGACGCGTTGGAGCGGCTGAAGCAGACGTGGCTTCCAAGGTTCGCCGCCATATTCACTTGATGCATGTGAAACCGCAACCTGGAGGCTTCCTTGCAAACCTCATACGACTCCGTCGAGGCGTCTCGTGGCCGCCATGCTTATATTAAGGTTGCGGTCCTCGCCGGCTTCATCTCCCGCATGTCAGCTAAAGCCAATCCAGCTAGCGGCATGACATCACTGCACATGGCGCATCCACTTTGCTGGCGCGGCTCGCAACACATCGTGAAACCAGCGGTCAGAGCACTGCGCCCATGCCCATTCCGATATTTGCGCGACATTTGGTGCAATCAGCTGCCGCTATTTCCCATGCCCGGCTGATCTAAGGTCGGGCGCCGTTTGGGGGCTCGACTCGCGTGTGTTACAGGACGGGCGGAGGACAGAGTGCGTCATTGGCAATGCGGAGGGGGTTGCGCTTTATTCTCCGCGCTTTTCTTTTCCTACTTCACTTTGTTGCATTATCGATTTCTGAAAAGGCAGTTGCTTGCGCGAGATTGAAAGAGCTGGAATCATAATCTGTCAAGCACGCACGTGTCGTCTTCCTAACGTGCAACCTTAACACGCCATCTCCTCGGCCCTTTCCACGGTTCGATATTGAAGCGGCGTACGAGCCTACTTGCTCATACCACCAACGCGACAATGAATTACGCATCATGGATCGAAGAGGAGAAACTCAAGGTATGCCCACTCCGCGCTTACTGTTGATCGCAAATCTAACACGTGCGGCTCAGAAAACCTTCATCGTGGCCACGTTGGCGTCCACGCTTGTCGGCACGTTCACGGCGTCTATGGGGCTATGGGAGCGCGTCTCAGACAAGCGCCAACAGCATCGACAGAAACAGCGCGACACGAAGCAAGATGGCGAGATCAAGGAGCTGAAGAAGCAATTCGAAGAGGCGCAGAAGAGAGCCGACGGTAGACAACAGGAGATCGATCGGCTGAAGAACGGTGGAGGGCGCGACGACGTAGGAAACAATTTTGAGAGGGATGGCATGATGGTTCAGAGAATGTATGACCAAGGTTATGGCAGGATGGGCAGCAGGTTCGCCCAGGGTGATGGTAAGTGGATTGCGCTGGAGAACTGGTACAAGACTGACCCCGCGCACAGCCATCGTCGAGAACAAACTGCAAGCGCACATCATCTCCCTCCAACAAACCGTTATAAATGTCCTCCAAGATGCCTTATACAACGACCGCCAATTGACTCGCGCCGACATGTCCAAACTCATCGCCGCCTCAAACCAAGCCAGGGAAGGCTCCATGATCGCTCTTCAAGAAGCGCAACAACGATTAGGAGGCTCGCAAGTCGGCGCACCACCTCCACCCCGCCCTGCATCGCCTCCGCGCTCCCTCGTCCCTTCGCAGCGCGCGCCTAGTGCTATTATGCCCATGGATGGCCCCGAGCAACTCTTCTGCCGCTACGCACTCGATCTACAATACATGCCCGGAAATCCCTTGGCAGCTTCCTTTGCCCCTGGAGGTAGCTGCGCATGTCCTGCATGCGGCGTGCGCCTCGACGTAACCAGCGAAGACTTCTGGATGATAGGCAAACGAACACCCGTCACCGTCTGGGACAAGACAACTGGCTATGAACACGACATCATGGACACACGCGAGTTCCGTCTTGCCCAGCGCTTCGTAATCAAGTGCCATACCCCAGATGGCGAGTACGCGTGCACAATCTGTAGCAAGGGCAGAGACGTCGACGCGATTTGCCGGACAGTAGACAGCTTGGTCAAACATGTGGGAACATATCACGATGTCGGCGAACTGGAACAAGAAATCGATCTGCGCGAGGTCAAGGTCGAAACGAAGAGGTTGAGTCTCCCTGCGCCACACGTACCCAGTCCACCGAGGAGTGTTCTCAGGGAAGAGATGATCTATCGGTGAGCATTTGGCAATCGCCATGATGAATCCTGTATCTTTGGGGGTTGTTTGTTTTATGTCACAGCAAGGCGTTGGGTCGCAAGTATACCTTTTTTGGGGGCGGTGGGCTGCATGCATGCCTATTGCAATTTCTTCTTTTCATGATGTATGAGTAAACGATGTAACGGCAGCAATATATACCATCAAGAATATACTTTTCAACGTAAAATATGAATGTAGTTCAAGCTTTCATATTATCCAGCTAACAACAATGCTAATCTGAGCCTCCTGAGGTACGCTTGGAGTAGGGAACCAGGCTGCGTCGACATATCCGAAGTCGATACTAGATATGCACCAATCCTTGGACCCAGCCTCGCACTGTCTCCAAAATTCTCAAGTCCAGCCTCGCACTAGACGTCGATCAGAAAGCTTGTGTGAACGTCGACTGCACAAGAACGAGGCTCTGTGTTGGGTGTAGCCGTCTGATCCGAGCTGAGATAGTGGTCTGTGCACATGGGGACAGGAGTGGATACGTCATCAGGGTGCTGCAGCTATGGGGTGTAAGGTGTCCACAAGGAGCACTACACTGCAACCTCAACAACGACTCTTGGTTTCGTTGAATCTTTATCAGATGCTTGCGATGTTCTTGCGGTCTTTATTGCTACATTGCACCAACACATTGAGCCACTCTCAGTTGATCCATCGCTCCCCCGGGTAGCTGCCTCATCCTAACTGCGTCGCAACATGCGCCCATTACACACCTAGTACACGCAGCACATCAAGAACAACTACATTGATCCGACCCGGACTTCATTGCTGGCGTGGTGCCTACGCCAGATCTATGATTCCAAGCAAGGAGCGGTCTGGAGTTCATAGGGCGTGCCTAGGCAGGGCGTGCGACTGGATTGTCATGAGCCCCTATTTACACTGCAGTAACTAGCCTCGCGATCTCAACGCCGA